CTAAGTTCGAGAATAAGAGAGGTGTTACAGCAGGATCAGAAACATATCATTTGGAGCGTCCTGACGGCATTTAACACCACTGTGAAACAAGAGCCGAGTCCAGTGTCATGATCCAACCAAGCCTCCAGTTACTCTTCACAGAACGTGTCGCCAGCACAATAGCAGAGCAATTACAAGAAGAAACGTTTAGAACTAAAACGCGGAGGGAATACAAAGCCATCTGCTTCCCTGTAGAGAAAAATGCTGGATTGTTTGAGATACATTATCATTGTCAGGCACATCGATTATCTGTAAGCCTCTTCACTCCATACTTCATACTTTAGACAACTTTACAGCCGGTATTTGACGGTGACAAATGACACTTTCCACTTGCATGTATTGCCCTCCATTTTAGGCCCCTCACAGTTTCATTGTGGCTTTTTTAGTCTGGGTGGTTTACTTTGATTTTGCACACATCATCCATGGTATTGATTAAATTTTCCTGGGCAATTGCATATACCCCCTTGCAAGCTCTTTTGAGGGAAACGATTGAGTTCTTGCGAGAATTAATTGGGGTATATTGACAGTAGCCAAAAGAGGACCTTTCTTCTCCCCAGGGGCTTTGGATATTGAATGAGCTCAGCCCCTCTGTCTTTTCCAGCCATCCAACTCATTGATTATGATAATGTGACCCAAGGCCAACGCTTAAGGTAATTTGTCATAAGCTGCTAGTGATGATGTTTTTATGTCCATCCATAGCTCGTGCACCACATCAGATTTTCATCGTTTATGAATATGGACTCTAGATGTATAGTGTAAGCCATGCTGCATTGAAAGAAGATGGCAGAAATGTGGCCCATTGCGGTGTTCAGTGAGAATCTAATAATGCTGACTAAAGAGAATCCAAAGTGGCTTTCAGCCTCCTCTCGTTTATAGTGGCAACCTCTTTCTTCTCGTCTTTTATGTCCCTTTGTGAGAAATTGTCTACTTGCTGCAGAATCCAGACTAAAGCAGGCAATAAATGAAAAAAGTGGTGATAAATGATCTCATTTCAAGTTGGGATATTGCCAGTGTTTTCCCATAGTAACGCAGTGAAGAATTGCATTGCATTTAGTCGCTGAAGGAATAAAAGGCTGTTAGATAATTACAGTGATGCGCTTTGTATATGCTGCCTTATTAGAATCAGTTGACATTCTGTTTGTTTGATTTCATTGGTTTATATCGGTTTTTAGCTTCCACATATAAAGAATTAGTTACATCAGCTGTATTGTTTATATCAGTGTATTCCTTTAAATAATTAACAAGTTATTATCAAGTTGATGGTACTGATGTGCTATAAATATTATTTAGATTATTTTCTTTCTTCTGCAAAACACTAAAGTTATTTTGTTTAAATTAGAGTTGGGTGATGTCGAACAATTTAGCATCAAACAATGTCTAATCTGAAACATTGCAATGGACGATGGCATCATCGCCATAGGCAGTGGTGAATGAATTATTTATTAATCATTAATTTATTCATAACAATATAATTATTTGTAGCCTACCGTTTCAACCATAACCAAATCCTAAATAAATAAAGATAAGTTACTCACAAATTAACACCTGTCAATCACTTTTTCTGTGGGACTCTGGCATAAATAGGCCGAGTGATCTGTGTCTGTATGCACAACCAACAGTATCTGAGGTTTTTGCTAAAATTACTTAGTAAAAGCGTGAAAGCAAAAGATTGAGTGCACTGACGCTGTGACAGATTACCTGATAGATTCAAAAGACAAAAGAGTCTGTAGATAGAGACCAGATGAATTAAATATCACATTTAACAACAATAGTGAGATGCGATCCAGTGGTACACTGTGGGACGTGCACTGCTCTCTGGGGTTTTGTGCTCAAAGCACCCGCTGATTGCCTGGAGCTCAGACGTGCGCACAGTGTGCGTTTTCAGTGGTATAGTGTGGATGGAGATCTTTTTTAGAAATGCTAGATGCCAGTTTGGACGTGGATCGCTTTACATTCCAAAATGTCATTTTAAAACTAAGACATATTAGTGTAAACGGGGCCTGAGTGTGTATTTTTCGGGTTGCTGCTGCATAGGGGGCAGGGTTGAGGATTGCGATGCCGGCTTGGCATTGTGTTGTCTATCAGTCATTGGCTGGATACAGTTGACTTTCACCGTATTGACGAAACAACTTCCACTGAAAAAGAAAAGATAGAAATCTTGTATATTTAAAGTTTTATATATTATTTTGTATATTTGGAGTTTGGATTCACTTGGTGCCAGTCAGAACATTTTTTAGATGTTTACATAGGATGCATTTAGAAAGTGCTTTAAATTGGTTGTTCACTCAAAAATGATAATACTTTGATTGTTTACTTATTGTTCCACACATGTTTGAGTTTATTTGTTCTGTTGAACAAAAAAGAAAATATACAGAACTGAAGAATGCTGGAAAATTCCAAGATTCTTCAGAATACATTTTTTTTTTGTGTTCAACAAATAAAAGAAATTCATCATTTTTTTAAAAACCACTTTATTGTGAGGAAATGAAAAAGAAACATTCATATTTTGGGTGAGCTATTGCTTTGAGGTTTTGACTCCTGATACACCAAGCCAACTGTCAATATGTTGTGGTAATCATCACTGAGCACATGTCAGTTTAGTTTTTGCTTGTGTTCTGCACTGGTTGGACACTGTTATTGAACATTTGGTTGATTGATCAATCACCATCCGCCATCAACAATAAACCTCTACGTAACTAAAAGAGAGAACTCTGATTGGCTGTTCAGTTAAAAATTCAAGTGATGAAAACAAGCAACAGACAGAAGGATGTTCTAAGTTTGCTTTATTTTACCTGAACATTTCAATAGGCAAATGTATTCAAAACCACAAAAGCCTTCAGGAATTACGAAATTGATCAAAATGAATAATAATAAAGGTCAGCAAACATTTCTGTTTAAAGTTTGTATTGATACATTTTGGTCCCAGTTTCAGTACCATCTTACACAAGATTATATTTTTTCAAGATAGCTAAAACTAAATTCAAATAAATTAGTTGGATGTTGAACCACCATTAGTTTAGTTATTATCATTAAAATACCAAATAGTTGACCACTGTGACTCATTTCTTGTTGATAGCCGAATGTATATGACAGTGATTTGATTTTATATGCTTATCTTGTGCACATCTAACGTATAATGGTGCTCCAGCTGGACTAATAATGCGCTCAAGGTCACGGTCAAAGGTTAAGACCAAAAGCCCTGATGGCTGCAAGGAGAGATCAGATGTCAACTTTAATTTTGACCTGCAGTGGAACATATGTACATTTAATGTTGTGACGCTCTGGTTTTTCTTAGTCTGCAGTGTTTGTATGGTTAATTTGCTTTTGTTTTAGATGCTGTTTTCTTGTCCATCTGGAAGACATCTCTTAAAGGTTCCATTCAAACGATTGCTCTCTGTTTATTACTATTAGTGTTAGATTGCTCATGCAGTGCACAGGCAGCAGGACATTACAGTGTGATGAATTATTTATAGAATGTGCAACAGTAATGATTATCAGTAAGGCCTTTGAATTCTACCTGTGGCTTTTAAAGGCTCTCTGGCATATTTAAATTTACATTAAATCATGTAGCAGAAGCTTTTATCCAAAGTGACTTACAAATGAGGAACATCACAGGTTATTTAGTATTGGAGAAAACAGTAGGCTATTTGCAGGGCACAATGGTGGATTTTGTTTATACAGAAGTGAAATGCAGCAGAGAAAAGATTTGATTCTGATTGGAAGAATGCAATATTTTATAGTATATCCCAAAAGGAATGATTTGTTTAGAATGCTTTATTGTAATTGACCATTCTAACTGCTTGCAGTCAGTTTATTTTCATGTTTCTCATTTGACTGTGGTTCTTTCATTATACATAAAAAAAAAATCTAAACTCAAATGTTCACTAATTATTTATTCTAAATAGCAGTTTGTTAAATATTTAATGTGATTTTGCATTCATATATTTTTTATCATTTCATTTATTATTTAGTTGGTAAATATGTGTTTTATTTACACACACATTTTTATTTTATTTGGAATATTTGATTAGTTGGTTGTTTTCATTAATTTCATTCATTCAATCATTCTTTTATTTATACTAGGTCATATTAGTCAAAATGCATTGAGATGTATTCAGTTCAATTCAATTTTATTTGTATAGCGCTAATTATTTAAATTAATAATTGTTTCAAAGCAGCTTTTCAGAAGGTGCCCTTTATTGGATTACAATTAAATTAAGTTAAAGTTACAATCAAATATACATTATTATCTACAGACATAGTTAACCTGCAATTTCATTGCACATAGGTAGGCCCACAAGGAGTCTGCAGATTTTTAGCCTATCATTGAGTATTTACATGTATAAATTTATATTTATTCAGTTTTTAAATTAATTTCAATAATATCTTGTGACATAATAATAGTAATAATAAAATGTTTATAATAGTCATTTATAATTCTGTTTGTAAAGTAATATTTTCTGTCTTTTAGTAGATATATTATGTAAAAGACTTGCTTTGTTTGATCCAAGGGGATATAATTGGATTTGCATTGTAAACATTAATAAAAGTTAAAAAGGTATTATTTTTTATTTCATATATTAAGTTTTTAGTTATGATGCTGGGACAAGGCAGTGGCGCAGTAGGTAGTGCTGTCGCCTCACAGCAAGAAGGTCCCTGGTTCGAACCTCGGCTCAGTTGGCGTTTCTGTGTGGAGTTTGCATGTTCTCCCTGCCTTCGTGTGGGTTTCCTCCGGGTGCTCCGGTTTCCCCCACAGTCCAAAAACATGCGGTCCAGGTGAATTGGGTAGGCTAAATTGTCTGTAGTGTATGAGTGTGTGTGTGTGTGGATGTTTCCCAGAGATGGGTTGCAGCTGGAAGGGCTGCATAAAAACTTGCTGGATAAGTTGGCGGTTCATTCCGCTGTGGCGACCCCGGATTAATAAAGGGACTAAGCCGACAAGAAAATGAATGAATGAATGAATGAATGAGTTATGATGCTCCTAAAATCATTCCTCATGAATCTGCAGATTTTTTTTTACTAAAGTCTTCGCAGGATAACAAAAAATATGTGCGCAGATTCTGTCCTACACACAGTATATGTGATGTCTGTTCATATTTAATGAAGTGTATCTGTTTATTAAGTGTATGTGTTGTCCTGGAAGTCCTTGTTGGTTGAGCCCATCTCTTTATTTATGATATAACTCATGATATATTTTTATAAAATAAACCCTGTTAGATTGATACAAAACCACCTTTTATTAATATAATGATCATGTGATTACACATCGTCCCTTATTTTTTCCAAACTGATAAAACATAAGATTTCTTTTTCAATGCTGCCTATATTAACGTTCCAGTGCCTTTCAACAATACTCCGAATTCATTCTGCCTGCCATCAAGGGCAATTTTGCATATCAGGTACTATGTAAAATAGCCTCTGCAAGACCACATGCAGAGATCTCTCTCCTTTTCCTCTCCTTCCTCCTCCCGCTCCTCTGGTCTATTCTCTTTCGTTCTTTCTTGCCTTCTCTCAGTCTCTTTTTCTCTTCAATGGGAAATGTCTTGAGTTGAGCAAAGAGCAGTTGCATGCAGGAAGAGCGATAGTGGAGGAGGGAGGGGGAAGGAGGAGGGTGTTTGCGCAAGCTTGTAGGCAGATAACAGACCCAACCACAGATGGTGGAGCGAGAAAGAGAGAGAGAGCGAGAGAGCGTGCGCGGTGGTGTGAGAGAAGGAGGAAGGGAGGGAGGTGCAGTACGTCAGTTCTCTGCTCACTCAGTCACTGTGAAGCAGGTTGATTTTCTGCTGTCTTTCGTCGCAGCTTTACCGGAGACTCCTGCATCCATCTGAGCCTGTTCAAGGAAGATGCAACACAATGTTCGTGCAACATTCTCACACCTTTAGCCCTGTTGATGGCAAGACTGTGTGACTGCATGCGAGTTGGTGGATGACAAGACCAGCAATTTATGTGCACTGACATGCTTTCCTGCACCTTGGGCTGTTTTTCTCATCTCCAGCAGTTGTCGTGGGTTTAGATCAGCAGGCTATTGGCTGACAGGAGCGAGAGAAGGTACTTCTGCCTGTTTGTGACCTGTGGAAACAGGAACTGAGCATCAGATACCTCTGAGAGAAGTTTCAGGGCTTGTTTCCGGGAGCACGTGGAGCTCTGGCCCTTCACCTGAAGCTGTGGTCCCCCGCTCCCAACCCATCCTCCCCTTCCCATCCCTGGAACCTGGAATGGTGCATTTGGTCCCACGAAGACCCGTGTAGGGAGTCCCCCAAACTGGATCCGACCCCGCAAATGACCGGCAGCAATAGCATGAGCAGTGGATACTGCAGCCTGGATGAGGAGAGCGACGATTTCTCCTTCTTCACCGCCAAAACCTCATTCTTCCGGCGTCCACAGGCAAAACAAGTAGAAAAGGTAGCGTATGAATGCAAGGCTGATGGGTTGGTGAAGACTGAGTGAGTGCATTTGCACCTAATAGCAAAAAAATGAGAAGCGTTTACACGGAAGTGCTGTTTTCTTTATGCTGCTAACTGCTGAATTGTAAGGAAGGTGTTTTGGATGCATTCAGAACAGGTTTATGACCTAATGTGTTTTGACTGAAAACACAGCCTGTCTGTTGTGGGTTTCCTTGCATTATGTTCAGCACTGTTCAGGTTGTTAAAGTAAGATGAAAGATTTTGTATTGGACATGTGTGCACTCTCTGAGAAAATGGCACAAAGCTGTCATCTGGTTAAATTTTATTTGGGTTTGTCGATATTTAAACCAGATATTGGTTGAAAAAGCACAGTAGTTTTTAGAGTGTAGTTCCGTTACTTATATTTACATTTAAGTAGTAATTTGTTAATTTTAGGGACTTATACATTAGCCTTTTTTAGGGTGCTAATATGCACCATCAATACTAGTTCATGTCCTTACTAATAAGTATTTTTAAGGTTTCCTGCTAATATGAACTATTTAGATACTAATGCTTTCCCCTTAAGTTCTAAAAAGTATTTACCCTCTAGGTGTACATGAAGTACAAGTGTGAACATTTTGAAAGCTTCACTGAAAGCTTTGCACCTTTGCTCTTTAGAATGACTCCAGACTCTGTTTAAAGAGATATTAGCTCTCTAGAACTTAAATGATTTGATGCAAAATAAGCTCATCCATTACTTTCCTTTGCTGTCGTTTCAGAAGCTTAATATTTCTGCCATTTTGGAACTCTAACTGAAATCTAAGCTTTCCCGTTTCGTTTTGCATTCTTGAAATGAGTAGATAAAATGAAGGCCAGTGTTTCCACTCTGCAAGGCTGTTTGTTTGACTCTCATGGACGGATTAAAATGTATACCTTGAATGCCCTGTAAGATGCTTTGTATTAAAGTGTCTGTTAAGGTGACAGCCAAAAGGGGGTTAGTAGGTGGCTAATGCACCATTGCATTGAGGTTACTTAAACTTACAATGATTATAAGAGCTTAAAGATGTTCCTTAAGAAGGATTAAGGAATGCATGACCATTTTAAGGCTCTGTTTTACACTAATTTAATAAGTATTTAATACTTGAGCTGAAGAACTGAAGTTTCATTTAACACAACGCTGTACAGTTTGAGCCAATTCTATCCACCAAAAACCTTAATGCAAATTGCTTTTACTTTAGCTCATAAGCTGCACATCTCGACCTTCAGCATAGACTCTTTTAAGCATGGCAGGGTACATACATAAAGTGCGCTCTCACACTCTCAGAGCTTTTTAATGCTGTGAGGGGAAGGAAATGGCTGCTGATTGTGCCAGAAAGGCCCGTCCTTCCCTGAATCAGAGAATGTGTTATTTTACAAGACCTCATAGCTTTTACACTGACTTCCTGTTCCTTTAGGCCTCTATATATCTCATAGTGACATAGTTGCTGACTGTAAAAAAAAAAAAAAAAAAAAAAAAAAAAGTTGGTCAGAGTATAGATTAAAGTTGTATTCTGAAAAGCACAGAAGTGGAAAGAATACTACATGTCCTCAAACACTCCTGTATCTGGGCTGACCAGCCTTACATCACTTTCTGCAGTATCAGGTTTGGAAAGAGCTTCTCAGGATGTGAATTATTCATCCTGTTCTCATCTATGTCTGGACACAACGTGAGCTGTCAATTTGAGGACATTCAGTGGGCACGGTTCAAATCATTTGGTTTGGGGTGTTTTATATTGGGGAATACTGTACAAAAGTTTGAGGTTGGTAAGACTTCGTAATGTTTTTGAATGAAGTGTCTTGACATGTGCAGGTGTTGGATAAAAAAAAAGGAGATTGTGAGATAGTATTGCAATTTTATAAAACTGTTATTTTAATTATTTCTGACATGCAAGGTTAAAGTTTCAGAAGTAATTACTTTAGTTTTCAGTTTCACATGACCCTTCGGGGGTAAAAAAATAGACATTTTTCAGGATTATTTTGTGGAAACAAAGTTTAAAAGAACAAAAGAAAAACATGAATTAATTTTTGTAACATTCTAAATGTTATTTTTGTGCAAGTCAGCCCATTCTTGGTAATTGAAATGCAGCAAATAATTATTATTATTTTTAATTTATAATAAATAAAATTTAGTTTTGCTTACTTTAGTACTTTAGGACCAATTCTCACTTTCCACTATTAGCTGGTTGCAGCATAGGCTCATTCTAGAAACGTAGCCCTATATACATTTCTGGAGATCGCAAATTATGTAGCCAGAAGTATGTATGGCTACATTTCGTTTTTAAAATAAACGATACGGGGCGGTATGACGCCCTTCCTTTTCGGTGCCATTTCGTTTGGCCATTCTGTTTGGCCAGTTAGCTCGACATGTATGTTGGCGAACTTGAGACGCAGAGAGGAGTTGATCACAACTACGAGGTTCGAATCCGGTGAAGAACGGTTCCAGAAAGCGGGTAGGACATAAACAGAAGTCAAAAAATAAAATAAACAAGTACACAAAAGAATGGGAATGTGGTATAATCTGCAAACTTGATAAAAATCATTTTTTTCTTGGGTTTAGGGAAGGAGGAGGGTGGGTCAGTCGATTGGTCAGTCAGTTAGTCAAACAGTCGACAGCGGCCTCTGGTGGATTTACGTGAGAATAGCAGGCTCAAATGACACTCGCGAGAAAATTTTGAGAGAAGTGTACACAGCAACCTCTGGTGGATTTGTGAAAACAAAAACAGCAAAAAAAAACAACATTCCTCTTCAGACGTATTTCGCGCTGTCCAGAAATATATATAGAGGTACATTTTCAGTATGAGCCTGTGTTGGGCTTATTACTGGATTATTATTAAGAGATTGGCTGTTTATCAGGCCTTATAAAGCACATATTCTGCAGGATCTTATTCTACATTCATAATCCTACCCAATACAAACATTACTGCTACATTGGTAACTATTAATAAGCAGCAGATTTATTTTATTCAGGCAAAAGTCATAAATGATTTATTAATATATATAGTGAGAATCTTACCTTAAATTGTGACCAATAAAATCTTACTAGCCTCAAACAAATGATGAAGTAAGCTGTGTTTTAAATGCTGTAGATTGATAGTTTGGCTTAATAGTTTGTTGCATGTTTGTTCTTCTAAGCAGTTCAGCCTGACAAAAAGCCTGACAAAAAGGTTCCTGCAGGTCTACCCTAGTGTTACCAGCAGGGCTGTTGATTGTTTGTGTATCGTGTCGCTAGGTGCAGGGCGTTACTTATAATTTCAGCTATTGGCTGACGGACGTTAGATTTATGTTTACTTGTCTGTGATAAGATCTCATTTAGTAATTATTTTGGATTATTAAAGTATTTGTACATTGTTTTGCTTCTGCTGAACACAAAATAAGCACTGCTTGAACAGACAGAGAGTGAAGGTGAAGTTAACTTGTACAAATTCTTCTTAGCATCTCTAAAAGCCCTCTCAGAAGAACCCCAGGGATGGAAAAATGGAAGATTAGCTTGCGTTCTCACTTCAGTGTGCACATTCTTTTTGCAAGTTATGGGATTAATATTGCTTTATGGATCAATAATACATTTCCTCTTTACATTGCCAAGTTAAACAAAGGCTTTTAAAGCAGGCTCTTTGAGTAATAGTGACTTGATAAATGCTACTGCTTTTGCGTTCATTAATTATTCCAGAAGCTTCCAAAACAACATTGAAACCTTCTTTATACACATCTTAAATTGGTTTAAAGCAGCAGTTCACCCAAAAAAGAAGTCAATTATTTATTCATACTGTACTTGTTAAAGACCTATTTGAGTGTCTTTCATAAAATTAAACACAAGGCAATTCAGTGACTGCAGCATTCTTCAGTAATATCATAAAGATGTGTGTTCCATGGGAAAAAGAAAATGGAAGCACTTGAGAGGGAGTAAACGGTGAGAAAATGTTCAGTTTTGGCTGGACTATTTCTTCAATCTCATTTTTTGTTGATTTTAGACTGAACTGACAGCCATTAAGGAAGGGAACAAGAATGAAATAGCTTCCTCTTCAAGGGCAGCCATGGGGACGTCAACATTTGATTAGGCAAAGTCATGCAAACATCAGCCGTTTGCTCAGGGTTTTGCTGTATCTATGATGAGAGCTTATTTTGTCTCCAATATGGTAGATGTTACAGATGTGGTGCCTTTCCTGAAAATGTCTACAACAGAAACTTCTTAAAGGGACGATTCACCAAAAAATCACCTGTGCCTCCATTTGTTCCAAACAAATTGTTCTTTTTTAAGTTTCTTTCATCATTTAAACACAAAGAAAAGATATTTTGAAAAGGATTGAAAACTGGTCTCCTTCAATCTTTTTTTCTGCAGTTAATGTCAGTGGCTACCAATGTATGTAATTAAAATATATTCATTTGTGTGTTCAACAGAAAACAGAGACTCACTTTAGGGTGAGCCGTTGATAAGTAAATGTACATTTTCGGCTGAACCATTATGATAGCTGCTAATACGAATGGCTGTTTAAGGTCACATACTGTAGATGCTGATTGCACAAACAAATCACCATGTTAACTTGCTATAGGTATTCCACGATGCATAAAAGCAAAACAGACCCAAGCGTAATTCCCAGATAATGGAGAGCATTTTTATGAAAGGCACTGGAATGACTGAAGGCATAGTGCTTGTTCTGCTGATGTGCTGTTTATTGTAGTGTATTGCATGTGTGCAGAGCTGCAGTGAGGAGGACTGATCTCCTACTGCACACTTGACCCAGTAATGAGAGAAAGAGAGAGGGAGAGAGAGAAAGAGAGGCGTGTGGGAGGAAGCAGAGCATCAGGATTCATTCCTTCACTGCGACAGAGAGAAACACATGAGCAAAATCAATTCAGAGCAGATAAATCTTTGAAAGCATGCTGAGATATGAAGTCTCACATCTATTTACAAGGGCTTGGATCAGTATTTGTACTGTACTGCTGTAATATATCAAACATACATAAGGAATGCTTGAAATGAAC